GGGTGGCGGGTGGTGGGTGGGAGCGGGCAGGGGCTGGGCCCCGGTCTGTTGGTCTTGGCGGAGAAGGGGGAGTTTGTTTCCGGGAAAGCAAGGTGGGGGGTGGCAGCGAAGCGGGCCCAGAGCCCTGAGGCTGGGGATAGAGCTAGAGGAGACCAGGACCGGACAGAAAGCAGCCCCCGGTCCAGCGGTGACCCTTGCTGGGCTGTACGGCTCACCTGGCCAGATGCCTGACTTTTAAGTGCTCGGGTGTGTCCTGCAGTTTTGGGTTTCATCACTGATCTATGCCGGCTTTTCTGGAAGCCGGAGGGGATGGTAACCATGGAGAAGAAAGGAGGTGGGGGCTGGGTGTTTATATATGCCTTTTATTTGTATTCATTCACTGGGTCGCGCAGCACCTTTAGGGCACCTGGAGCATGCCCCACACAGTGCTAGGCCCCCCGCAAATGGGATCATTCATTCATTCGTTCATTAAATCTTCACCGAAGGCCAGGCACTTCGCTAGGTTCTGGGGGCCGGAAGATAGAGTAAGACGGAAGAGACAGGCAGCACAAATAAAAGCAGGACAAAAAAACAAAACAAAACACAAAAAACCCCAAAAACCAGAACAGCAGGACAGTGTGATCAGTCTAATAAAGACTGTGAGAGTCATAGTCTCTGCCTTCAGGGAATGTAAGATTTAGGAGTGCCTGCGGGTGTGACTGCATGAGTGTGTGTGCGATCACGGCTGATGGAGATTGGTCACCTACTAGGGGTGGAGGCCCCCCATGCATTCTATCGTGTCCTAAGGTGTGTCACAGACCAGTAAGGGTTGGGACGTCCTGTGCCACAGAGAAAACACTGCCGGCTATTTCACGGATTGGCCTCCCTATGCCCTCCCGGTGAAGGGCGCATTTCCTGAGAAGCTGCTTCATGCACCCCCCACTGCTAAGTACTCTGCAGCACCCCAGCTCTCCCGGCAGCCCCCCAAAGCAGGGACTGTTATTACCCCTAGTTAACATTGGAGGAAACCGAGGCAAAGACAGACAAGTCACAAGGTCACCGAGATAGTGACCGAGCTGTGACTTACTCTCTGACCCTCTCTCTGATCACAAACCCCTGCCTCTTCTTAATACCCCAGGTGCGGGACATGGAGTAGATAAAGTCTGTAGTCAGATGTTTACATCTCATTTCCTGGCTCTCCTTCCCCTCCTCCCACCCCTGCTCAGCCTCATTTTTCTTCCTTGGTGCCCATGGGCTTTTGCTCCCCTTCTTCTTGACCCTCTGCTGCTTCCCTGCCCTGATCTTTCCCCCACTTACTCCTCTTCACCCCCTTGGGCCATGGTGGAGGGGTGGGACCCAGGACTGCTCTGAGCCAGCAGGGAGGGGAAGGCAGGCAGGTGGGAGGGACAACAGGCTGGGTAGTAGGTTCTTCATAAATATTTGTGCTTGGAAGACACAGGTGGGAGCAGGAGAGGGCCGGGCTCCATCTGTTGAGGCCTGCATATTACCTAAGGTTCTGCAGGGGCCAGGTCATGGGCAGGCCAGGAAAAAGCCCTGGGAGCCAGACCAGAGCGGCAGGCTAGGAGGCAGGTGTCCGCACAGAAAGAATCTCTCCTCCGTGAGATTCCGTGCCTCTCTCAGGCAACTGGTGGCCACAGGGCTTAGCAGAGAGAGTGCACCCAGGACGGGAGGGGAGCCAGGGAAGGCCCCCTAGCATGGGGAACAATGTTGAACACTTGCTACATGCTCATCCCTGCACTGGGTGCTTTATTTATTTTTTTCTTTTTTTCATGTTTTAGAGTTTTGTTTTGTTTTTTAATTTGAGAGAGAGACAGATATTGAGAGAGAGCATGAGAGGTGAAGAGAGGGAGAGGTCTTGGGATTGGTCTGTGACACACCTTAGGACACAATAGAAAGAGCTCACAAGCAGGGGGAGGGGCAAAGAGGGAGGGAGAAGCAGGCTCCCCGCCCAGCAGGGAGCCCTGTGCCTACGTGGGGCTCCATCCCAGGACCCTGGGAGCATGACCTGAGCCGAAGGCAGACGCTTAACCGACTGAGCCCCCCAGGCACCCCCGCACTGGGTGCTTTATAAGCACTATCTCACTTAATCTTGGCAAGTCCATGGTTAAGAAATTATTATTATTTCCGTTTGGAAATGGAGGTGAAATAATTTGAGCAAGGTCACACAGCAAATAATAAAGAAATAACAACAATGATAGCTAACTCTTCAGGGCACCTGGGTGGCTCAGTTGGTTGGGCGTCTGCCTTTGGCTCAGGTCATGATCTCAGGGTCCTGGGATCGAGCCCCGCGTGGGGCTTCCTGCTCGCATCGGGCTCCCTGCCTGGGCGGGGAGCCTGTTTCTCCCTCCCTCTTTGCCCCTCCCCCTGCTTGTGAGCTCTTTCTCTCTCAAATAAATAAATAAAATCTTAAAAAAAAAAATAGCTAACACTTCTATAGTACTTAATGTGCCAGATATAAGTTTACATTTTATATGAAATTACTTAATTCTCACAAAAGACTTCTGAAGTAAGTACTAGTATTAGTCCTGTGTTATATATGAGGATATCGAGGCCCAGAGAGGTTAAGTAACCTGCCCAAGTTCACACAGGTGAATAATCACCCTGCCACCCCCACCCACCCCACCTAGCAGCCAGTGCATCTCAGGTTACAGCTGAGTCACAAACCAAGTGTGTTTGATTTCAAAGCTCTTTCTCCCTCTGCACTTTAAGGAGGGGCTGGGTGAAGCACCACAGGGTTTCGGGCTGCTGGTGGGGGCCCATGGGGAAGAGCAGGAATAAGATGAGGGGTACTCGGGGCGCCTGAGCGGCTCAGTCAGTTAAGCATCTGCCTTTGGCTCAGGTCATGATTCCGGGGTCTTGGGATCGAGCCCCGCATCAGGCTCCTTGCTCAGTGGGGAGCCTGCTTCTCCCTCTGCCTTTGTCCCCCCCCCATTTCAAATAAATAAATAAAATCTTAAAAAAAAAAGATGAGGGGTACTCATCAGGAATACTCAGCAGGAGAGAGGGATCCAGGGCACTTGGCTCCTGTTCCAGGAGAGAGGCAGGGGTGGGTGGACAGGTTAATGCAGCTGGCCGGGCGGTGACCCAAGCGTGACTCATGGCTGCTGGTCAGCGCCAGGTACAGGAGATGGGCCCCACGAGTGATTCCTACAGGCAAGCAGCAGGGAGGAGGCGGAGACCAGTGGACAGGACAGAAGAGCTGGTGAGATAACAGGAATGAGGCAAAATCAGAGCAGGGACGCAGCAGGATGCCCACAGCCAGCAGAGGCGGAGCGGTCCTGGGCAGCTTTGTCATTTCTGGGCGAGGGGGCAAGGGCTGAAGACCTTCCATACTAAGCAAGGAAGCACTAAGAATCCAGTGGGAAGTGGCTTTTTTGACCCAAGAGAGAGAGCCAGTCATATCCACATCGAGGGAAAACAGAGCCCGAGAACATATTTTTCGTCTCGTCCCGGGAGGGACTGAGGCTGGACCTAAGGAAGAGCTTGAGATTCTCAGACAACAAAAGAGGTCATGGAATCCTTTCCCAAGATGGCCAAGCAGAGGCACGGCACAGGGGTGGGATGAGGAGAGGGGCAACTCCCCAAAGAGAGACGCTGTGGGGAGGGAGGGCTCTGAGCTGGGCCTTCTAGCCCTAACCCTGCAAGGTGGCCGGCTTGGCAGGGTCGAGAGCCCAGACTCTCAGAACTGCCCTCCTTGATCCCCAGGGCTGGGCTCCTTCTCGTGTCAGGACCCTCCCCACCTCTGTAGCAGCTGTCCTTAGAAAATTCTTCCTTAGGGGCACCTGGGTGGCTCAGCTGGTTGAGCGTCTGCCTTCGGCTCAGGTCACGATCTCGGGGTCCTGGGATCGAGCCCCGTGTTGGGCTCCAGGATGGGCATGGAGCCTTCGTTTGGTTCTTCAAAAAGAACCAAACGTCCTCCTTAGATAGAGCTGCAGTTGGCCTCTTTAAAACTTCTAGCCTCTCTTCCTGGTTCTGTCTCTTGGAAGGAACCGTAAAGACACCTTCTCCTTCTTCACCCACCGACTCGGCCAGTAGCACCGGCCATGCAGCTTGCAAAATCCACGATCAATGCTGATCCTCCTCCTGAGCTTGTTAGATAAGGAAGGAGATTCCTCCCCCGAGTCAGATGGGAAACCGAGGCTCTGAGAACCTACAGGCTTTGCAAAGGTCGCCCGGCTGTTAGGCGGAGGGGCCAGCATTGGAATCTGCTCTTAGGCTCTACTTTTTTAAGCCCGTAGAGTTACATGGTGGGTAAGAGGCAGGCAGTGCCCGCATGTCTCCGTGGCCTGCTCTTCCCCACCAACAGTAACGATAATAAGACAATAGCAGGAGCTGCACAGTGCCTCCTCTGCTGGGTGTTTTTCTCGGGACTTTTCATGTATCAACTCTCATTTACTTCCCGTAACAACCGGATGCCGCATTTAGTCCCATTTTACAGGTGGTGAAGCAGAGGCACAGAGGATAAGTG